TGAATATTGATTACTGCATAGTGGTGAGCATTACTGTTCCTCTTGTGCTCATCCTCACCTTCTCTTCATTGATGCAGGTTAGTATTGCGGGCACGACGGAGGGAGGCGAGTGGTGGTCATTTTAGTGATTACTTCCGCTGTTGAATTGTTTGAACTATTTATGCATTTATGAATTATGATTGAGTATCGGATTTTGATATGGAGTGTACTCCCTTGTATTTGTGGTTTGAGAAACCCAGTTTTGGGAGTTAATGTTATTTATGAACCCGGTTGGGTGTTGTCATGATTACTGAACCCGTTTGGGAGTTATATTTATGATATTGATGGAAATGTTTGAAAATGAGTAGCGCCGCCATGTGTTTTAAAAATAAATTTTGAAAAATTTATTCTGAATTTCGGTAATTAAAAGTGGGGCGTTACACGTGATTTCTTGTATTATGTTATTTTGGGGCTTAGGAAAAAACTATCCTTCTTCGGTTAATGTTGAACTCTAGTATTATACCTTGTGCTAAACTCTTCGGCATATTCTATGTAGAATTATGGCACGCCAAATCTGCAATCAATAGCCTCCCTCGAACCAGCCTCCACCACAGCAGTCGTCTCAAAACCAGGTTGATGATGATCTCTAAATGGTTCTCCAATTTCAGCGGCTGAGCCCGCCGGTGTAATGCCCCGTTTATTTATGGATCGAGTATTATTTACTGTTATTATTATTATTACTATTATTATTATTCTTGATATTAATTGTCCAATTTATATGAATTGCCAAAATGTCTAATTGTTTTATTTGATTATTATTATAATAAATATTATGTGTGTATATATAAATATATTATCTATTTTAATTTATTTTATCGCGATCGAACCGAGCTTTATTTTATTAAAGTCGAGCCGAACTATTATTATCGACTATGTCGTAAACAAGAGATGAGAATCGAACCCTCAGCCCGACAACCCGCGCGCCCATTAACCCGGTTCGCCCTATCTCTCCTTTGTGTATCTTGTGGGGCAAGATAATAAACTTATTGTTATCTAAAGCTGCAAATCCTTTTCTCTCTTCACAATCATGCGTGCAACTTTTATCTCTCACAATATCGATCATCACCTCGATCACGCTCTTAATCTCTCATCTTTCCCATCTCACTATCTCTCCCTCACGCTGGTATTAAAAAAAAAAAAGGAAAAGAGAAAGGAACCAGCAGCCGAGCGCCACAGTTTCCCTGTCACCCGCGAGCAGCTCGAAATCCTAATTTTTTCGGCGTTCCCTGCCACAACAAGCAAACCCCGGCGATTGCTCCCTTACGACCAGGGTCAAACCACCGTCCGGCAGTCGTATTACATTGTGTTCGATCACCCATGCCAACACTGTAACACCCCACTATTAATATGTTGAAAAAAATCAGAGTAATTTTTTTTTTAATTTAAAATTAAAGATAGCAGAAAGGTAACTTGGTTCTTTGTGTGCAATTATTTAATACAAAACATATGAATGTCCTTTCGTCGCCATTATAGCTTGACCACTTTCAACTTTGCTCAACCTGCATGCTCAACTCCATTTCCTGAAATGTCATAATATAAAGGGAAATGAGTACATCATAATGGTACTTCGTGGAAAACCCAACATTACATTCATAATAATTATGACATTAATTAAACTGGCATATATGTATATAACTGAAATAATTGGCATATAAACATAAACTTCTTTATGCTTTCGGACACTTGGCCGATATCGTGTGCACACTCTGATGTTAGAACACACTTGGGTTCCATGAGACCCGGGCTTAAGGACACTTGGCCTTTACACCGATGATCATTCATATAGACCTGAACTGTTAGGTCATTTCCACACTTTGGGAAACCATTTCTTTCGTACATACCTTGGCCTTTCATATTGAGAAATAAACATATGTAAATCCCAATATAGGGTTTGTAACACCCTGCTATTTCATGAAAATCAGAGTGCGTTTTTCGCAAAGTTTTTCAAAATAAAACATTTAAGTTACGAAGTACTGATTTGGAGTGCTACCATAAAACATGACATTACCTGAAAAACCGTTATTGTAGCTTTAAAGAAAAACAAAACGGTTTAACATAACATATTAACCGATGGAAGTCGGATCAAAAGCTAAGTTCGACAAATAGTCATAATCAGCGGAAAAACGTAGCGTCGCCAAAACATTTTTAAACATGTAATCAAAATCCTGAACTGACTGCCAGCTCACTCCTCGACTCCGACCATGTGACCTGAAAAACATGAAAAATGTGGGTCGTGAGCACTAAATCCACTGTGCTCCGCAGAAACTCATACTGAAGTAAACAGTGAAAATAATTACTATAACATGATCCTGGCATATATAACTGAACTGAACTGAAACCGGTACTGAATAATCATGATCTGATACTGATGGTGTGATAATCATCACCTGCCTGATACCTGAACATCTGCCAGCATAAATGCCGGACACCATGTGCACACTCTAGTGGGCAGACTAAGGCCACTAGAACCCAGAATGGACCGGCGACCATTCCGAGCGGATACTGATAATACATACCTCAAACATGGTAGAGTAATTATAATCAATGTAATACCCAGTCTGAGTCCCCACCTGAACTGCTGATCTGAAAATGTAAGTGCTGATAGACTCGAACTGTTCAAACTATAACATATATATAAACAAATACTAAGTACTATGCTCAGATTCATTAAATAGCTGTTAAGATGCTCGACTGAACTAACATGACTTAACTGTATTTATTGACATGAACTAGGGCTCAACATAGACCGAGTTAATCATAACTAAACTGGACTGACTGAACTGATAACATAATTCATTTCATTGGACTGATCCACTGGACTTGGAAAAATGACTGAAATATCGGACATAACTTGAACTTAATCGGTATAACTGGAATTGGTTTAACATGGAACTGGACTTTCATGAAATTACTGAACTGGACCAGACCCGGAATTTAATTGAAATCTGGACATAATCATGAACCGAAACATTAAATAATAGAATATACGCTGAATCGGTCTGAACTGGTCAGCTTCCGGTCTGGCCGGACCGCCGGCCTACTG